AGAATTTCATAAGTTTGGGTTGAAATGCATTTTAGTGTTATCAACGTTCGTTTAGGATTCTGAGTCTGGGAGTAGCTTCGTATGGTGATTCTGGTGTTGGGAGCGCGATCGGAAGTGAATGCGGAGGTCTCTGGGTCATTTTGGAGTCATATGACTAAAGATAAAAATTTGAAGATTTTTGATAAGTTTGACCGGAAGTGGACTTTTTGATATCGGGGTCGGAATCTGATTCCGAAAGTTGGAGTAGGTCTATAATGTTGATTATGACTTGTGTGCAAAAATTAAGGTCAATCAGATGTGATTTGATATGTTTTGGCATCGAATGAAGAAGTTTGAAATTCTAAAGTTCATTAATCTTAGATTGGAGATCGATTCATGATTTTAGTGCTGTTGGACATGATTTGAGGCCTCGAGCAAGTCTGTAATATGTTTTGGGACTGGTTGGTATGATTGGTTGGGGTCCCGGGGGCCTCGGGTAGATTCCGGGTGGTTAATGGATCGAAAATGATATTTTGGAAAAGACTGAAGTTGCTGGTTGCTGGTGTAACTACACCTGCGAGACTAGGGCCGCAGGTGTGGAGCTGCAGAAGCGGCCTTCATGCCACAGAAACAGAAAAGGATGGCTAGGCTGGGACCGCAGATGCGGTCATTTTGTCGCAGATACGGGACTGCATCTGCGGAAGAGAGGACACAGGAGCAGAATGGGCTGGGAGCCTTGGACCGCAGAAGCAGCGTTTGGTTTGCACCAGCGAGACCGCAGAAGTGGTCAAGAGACCGTAGGTGCGGAAATGCTAGAGGCAGTGAGGTTCTTTTAAATCGGGGGTTGGGTTCATTTCAACCTCATTTATTCCATTGGAGTCGATTTTGGGGAAATTTTGAGGTGCCATTTTCACCACCAAGCATGAGGTAAGTAATTTATGCTAGTTTTTAGTTAAATATATGATTATATATGGATTTGGACATGGAAATTGGTAGAAACTTGGGGTTTCAGAGGAAACCTAGAAAAAATTGATATTCTTGGATTTTGACACGACTTTGGGTATGAAATTAAGAGAAAATCATATCTTTGAGTTCGGGAGTTCATGGGTAAACTTTATCTTCGAAAAATTTCGGAATTCGGGCACGTGGGCCCTAGGGCAATTTTGTTAGCTTTTCGATCGGGATTAGGATTTGTTATAAATTGGATTGTAATGAGAAATTAAACATATATTAATGGATTTATATAATTATTGGCTAGTTTTGGAGCATTGTGCATCGATTCGAGTCTTCGGAAGAGCGTGGAATGCTGGTTATTAATCTTCAGAGCTAGGTGAGTCTCCTTTATAACCTTGTAAGAGGGAATTGTCCCCATAGCTGAATAATTGGTTATCTACTCCTATTTGTGGGGGCTACGTACGCACGGGGTGATGAGAGTCTGTGCATAACTACTATTATGCTATTGTCCGAGTAGTCTAGGACCCAAAAGCATGCTATACTTGGAATATCTGTAACCTTATTGACAGTTGATTGCTTAAATCCTATCGAATTGGTAAATGGATTTCTAAAAAGAATTAAACTTCATTTTTTTCTAAATTGTTAAAAGAGAATTGGTTTTCTTTGGATAATTGTTTCCTGATGACTTCTTGATTGATTGTCTATGTGTGTTTAAATTCTGGAATGGGCCGAACGCCTCGGCAGATTAAATAGATGCATCTATGGTTCGCGCCATTTGACCCTCTGTACTGCAAAGTTTAAATATTGTTGGATCAAGCCGTACGACTTCGGCATGATTTGTGCATGCTTGTATTGCTTGCCTTGAAACTTATTGAAGTTGTTATTGCCTCTTCCCGATTTGAGAATATTTGTATAAACGACAAAAAGGAATTTGGAAATTTTCTATAAAAGAAAGAATTTCTTACCTGCTTCATTCCATTGAACTACAGTCATGTTTATAAAAAATCACCGATTTACTATATTATTGAGATAACATTATTGAACCACTAGTAAGTGTTGAAGTCAACCTCTCGTCTCTACTTCTTCGAGATTAGACGGGATACTCATTGGGTACACGTTATTTTCATACTCATACTACACTTCTGTGCATTTTTGTTGCACAGTCATATGCATCTCTAGAGGCCTAGTGGGTGTAGCAGCATGGTTTACACAAAGACTTAGGTGAGCTGCACTTCCCGAGACGACCCGCGGCCAGTAGAGTCTCTTCCAGATTATTGTATTTACTTTCTGTCCAATTTGTATTCCGGACGGTTGTTGTATTGTATTGCTTCCTAGGATTAGCTCATGCACTTGTGACACCGGATTCTGGGATGATTACGGGGTGTCTTGTATTAACTGCTTAACATTCATATTCGGTTTGAAACGATTATCTTTTACTGGTAAAATTGAAGGAAAATCATAGTTTTCAAAATTATTAAAACGCGAATTTAATTAAGTATTTTGGTTGGCTTGCCTGACAGCGGTGTCCGGCGCCATCATGACCCTTAGTGGATTTTAGGTCGCGACAACATGCATGGTATCAGAGCACTAGGTTCCCTTATGTCTCACGAGTCATAAGCAAGTCTAGTAAATTCTAGCGGAGCGGTACAGAGACGTCTGTACTTATCTCCGGGAGGCTACAGGGCTGTTAGGAGTACTTCCCTTCTTGATTCCTCATCGTGCGATTTGATTCCTTTGAGGCTTATGCCTTTATTTCTTTCCTATTAAATCTGATGCGACGTGGAGCGCTTATTATAAATCGGGAATTGAGAAATTTTAAAAGTACTACAGAGGTGGTACGGGATGCTTCTCCCGGCATAGTTGATTTAACTATTGTCGTCGCCTCGTGGAAGGATATTTTGTCGTTTCAGCTCAGTAGCTGTACTTCTGAGAGCTCTGAGGCTAGGCACAAGTTGCCATGATGCTTATGAACGATTATCATGCATTATTAATGTGATGGTAGGATGCTTGCCTACGTGTCGGGGCCATGAACAACTTGAAGGGAGGTTTACTCAGTACATGATTTAGAGATTCAATATTTTACTCCCGGTGGGGGGAAAAGCAATTAGCCTATGAATGTCCTAATTTGGGGTGATAGGGTAATGAGACTTGGTATCTTCGAGCGTGGGGGAATTTTCATCTATGACGTGGTATCATCGTCCTCGATGGAATATGTTGAGTTTGTTGGTGTTATGGTTTTCTTCAATTCACCTTTGGGGAAGAATATTGTGAAATAATTGTGGAGAGGAGACTATCAGAGATCGGGATGTGTGGTGGTTCAGGATTGAATCGGTATATCTAGTGTTGATGGCCCAAGAAAGATGACCTCGGGGGGGACTTAAAGTTAGTAGCGGTTCGTGAGTTCAAGCGCTACGAAGATAGATTTTATTTAAGGCAACAACTGAGCAACAAATGATGAGGAAGGACATGTGGGGAGTGTCAGGTGGTGGTTAAAACTTCTAGAAGGCCAGGTATAAGAAGCAAAGGTCGAGTAGTCAATTAAAGGGGTGAGTTCTGCCAAAGTGGGAGAGTGGCGGAGTTGCATATAGGCTTTGTGGTAGGATGACTACGCACCTTAAGGAGAGTTTGGAATGATTTGGGAATTTTAGTGATTGGTGACTAGGGTCTATGGATTTAATTTGAAGTATGGACTATTATATGGCAGGAGATTTGATATAACGGGAAGGAGCTGCTTGAAATGAAGAAGGATACAACATAACTTTGAATTGGAAGGATGTTGCCGCACAATTAATTGATGTCCACGAGGGATGAATGGACTTGTTCAGCTAGAGAGTGAGCTCGAACTCAGGATGGGTTATTGATGTCATAGTGATTGTACCCCGTGCAGTGGCGTTGGAAGATGTTGGGAAGTTATTTCCACAGGTGGGTTATTCCCTGTGAGCAGGTTAGCGGCCGTGTGGTTGGCGAGGCTTCTGCGAAGAATTCTATTGGTTGTACAACAAAGAGATCGGTCGTGCGAATGTGGTGGATGATTCAGAGTATAAAAGGGGTTTTACAGGAAGATTCCAAGAATTTTGGCGGCTGATTGTGCAAAGTTATGTCAATAAGAGATAAAGAATCCTAATGAATTCCAGAGTTGTGTAATAGTGGCTTCGAGCTAAGTGGGAGAGTCCCACCGACTATGATTGGGTGCATGGTTAACTACTTGCGAGGTTTCTGGTTATTAGCATATTGATGGGTTATTTTATCTACGGAAAAAGAACATAAGTGGTAATTTGAGCAAAAGAATTGTTAAAGGTGTGTTATGGTTGGCCTTATTGGCTCATGTTCAAACTTGGGGAAGGATTAAAGATTTATGTCTTGTATAGGTGCGGGTTTCAAGGGAAGTGATTCTGCCGGGTGCTTCGTTGAGAGGGTATTCATGTGCTAGAAGATTCATGGAGTTGATAATATTCGGGGCTGTGAGCATGTGATTTTTTCCCTATACGAAATACTCATATAAAATCCTAAGAAAATAGATTTTTGTTAATTATTTGCCATTTTGGGAATTTTTGTAGAATTTTATTTAATTGTTTGCATTTTGTGCATGTTTAAGTTTTATTTAAATCATGAAAAATACCAAAAATATCATGCATGGCATTTAGGCTTTATTTTTATATTTTTTAGGATTAATCGGTAGTTACTTGTTTTATAAAAATTGAAAATCACAAAAAAATGCTTCATTTCTACACTTTTTCCTTTTATTGATTTTATCTTTTAATTTAGGATTAAGTAGCTTTTATAAATGTTATAATTAGTTAATTAATTTAATTTCACATTTTTAGATAATCTAGGATTTTAATTGAAGAAAAAGAAAAAGAAAACAAAAGAAAAAAGAATAATTGAAAAGAAAAGGCTGGTTTAAATTTGATTGGGCCAAAATTAATGCTGAGCCCAAATCCCTACCCAAACTCACCAACAAGCCCAATTTCCCAGCCCAAAAACCAGATCCGACCCGCATACCCAACCCGTTTGACCCAATTCTTTCATTAAAACCTAGACCTAACACACATTATGGAGATCCCTCACTCCTGGGCTTGAGCGCCATTTACTCCCCTCTCTCATCAGAAGCGATGAAAAACGACCCCCTGTTCATCTTCTTCAAGAACAAGAACGTAGACCCTCCCCTTTAGAACTCCATACAGTGTCGCCCTCATCTTCTGGAGCAAAACAAAGTTCCTCACCCATGAACAAACTTTGAAATTGCTTCTTCTTCTCTCCTCTTCATCTCCTTCAAGAACCAGACCCTTCTCCTTTTTCATTCTCACGCCTTTCTACTGCTCAAAAACGTGCACACATACGCACAATAGCACAGAGATTCACGACAGAGGCTACGGGGAAGATCTGGACAAAAAAAAAGGGTTCAGCGCTTCTTCTGGATTTTCATGTGAAATGGAGTTCGGTTAAGAGGTTGTTGAGTTCACAGTCTCGTTGCCTTCCGTTGGTTTGGTTCTTCTGAGTTGAAATCTGGGGTTCAGATGCTATCTTTTGCTGCTGGATTAATATTGCTGAGCCACACTTGTTTTGATTTCTACCACATTTGGGCTCATTTTAATGCTTTCGTTTTCAATTAGGTCAGTTCTCCAACTTTTCTTGTATTATGATATCATTAAATGATTGAAATTATTGAGACCTTACTTAGTCGTCTTCTTTGGGTTTGTTCAAGATAATCTCTGTTGTTCTGATGTATAATCCATGCGTATTTGTTTTCCATTCGAATGAAACAATGAAATAATTTGAAATGCAATATTTTATGTGAATTACTCGATTCCTGTTGACAATTAGGAATATGGTTGTTAGGCAACTGAATTGGCTATGACGTGTTGGCTTGAACACAAAATTCAGCTTATTAAAAGCTTGCACATTCTGTGTCTCTAATTGTGTCATCTCAGTGATGTTTAATAATCATAGAGGTGATTCATAGTGTATATGGTCTAATTTTATGGAACTAGCTTTTGATTGGTTAAATCTGTAATTTCAAAGTTCCTTTTCATTTTGAAGGAAAGTAAGCATGCATTTTTCGTCTCACTGGATTGACCCTTATTTGAGCTTAACTTGTTTGTAAAGTTGGGAATTAAGAATTCAAGGATATATGAATTGTTCATTAATTAGTTTTGGGCTGAAATCTATCACATTATTAGACCTTGGTTGCTAAAATCTTTAAAGAATTGGGCCGAACGGACTTACTGCTAATAAGCCCAAAACGTTGGATGATTTCAAGATATAGAATTTGGCCATCCGTAAAGTTGTAGATATCTCTAGTAATTTAGCAATACCATTGGTCAGGTTAGTAATTCATAAAAGTTAAACCTTACACTTTTCTATAATAATTTTCATAACTTTAGCCTTCACAATAATCTCAAAAATAGTTTAGATAATAATTTGAGCATCGTAGCTTTGCTTTAGGCACGATTAATAAATCATCGTGACTATGGGTACAGTTCCTGTGACATAGTTATGATACACAATTCCAAAATTTGGGGGCGCATTTCATGTAACCCGATCATAACAACTTCGAATAATAAACCTTTTTTTGTTAAATAATTTGAGGCTTGCCATGCCAAATAAAACCTCTAAGCCCATGGCCCTTACAAAACTAGTTAGCTCTTTTTATAGAAAATTTGAGGTGTGTCATTTTCATTAAATAATCTATGTCCCTCATTCAACTAAGTAATAACCCTTTTAAAAATCGAGTTGTGCCATCAATTGAATTTTTCATGGCCCTCGCAAACGTTGTTATTAATTTGAACCTTCGTAGTTGCTTTAGGCGCATTATTAAATTGATTTTCTTTTAATTACTAAATTCGTGTGTACATTTCATGTAACCCAATTTCGATTCTTAACAATGTTAAATAGAACGTGTCGCAAACCGCAGGTGTATTTCATGTGGTGTGGTTCAAAGCATATTTTAAATAATGTTGAATCTTCCTAAAAGCATTTTAAAATAATTAAAAGCGGTTGATAAGCTGAAATTGCACAATAGGTTAAAATATGTAATAAATCGGATAATAGACCAATTTTAATAGTTAAGTGACCGTGCTAGAACCGCGGAACTCGGGAATGCCTAACACCTTCTCCCGGTTAACATAATTCCTTATCTAGAATTTCTAGTTTGCAGACTATAAAAAATAAAAGTCGATTATCCTCGATTTGAGATTTTAAAATAAATTGGTGACTTGGGACACCAATTAAACTATTCCAATTGGCAACTCTGATTAAATTGAAATAATTCCATTTCGAATAATGTCACTTTAATTGGAAAAACTCCTATACCCCCTCGGGGTGTAAAAAAGGAGGTGTGATAGGGGCCAAGTCAGAGTGGGTGGCTCTCAAGAACGGCCAAGTGGATTCAAAGGGTAAAGTGTGGTGCAATATGATTTCGAGCCTATAAGTACAGTTAAGAAACAAGCTTTGTAGCAGCTTATAAGAAGAGGAACAAAATGTCCTATGATGTTTTGACTTGCAGTGTAGCGTTTGGGGGGTATGAAATGGTTCGTGGGATTTGAGACAGCATGGTCTCGTGATTCACGGTCACTCAGGATGAGTGCGGATGAAGTGTGCTATGTGTTGAATGGAGTTATTCTTCTAAGGCAACCAAGGATAAACTGGAAGAAGATAGACTGGTTAGCCATAATTGAATTGGCATGATGATGGCTGTGACTAGTTCCCTTAGTGTGATTAAGTTATGCAAGTGATTTGTGACAGTACAGGTGAGGCCTGTCGGCAGTCGTAATTGATGTTATTCATAAGTATTCCACTGTTATGGTCTGTTATGTGTAGGCGGATCCTGGAAGGGCTATGGTGGCTTAGACCACTACTTGAAGATTTGCATATTTTACGGTTATGAGAATTCACATGTGTGTTGCTATGGTTCTCCTGAAGTGAGTTAAGTAAAAAGTTTTATATGATGAAGCATTAACCTATTAGTGGTTCCGGAGTTATGATGAAAATCGTGTTCTATCGCATATTGGCATGATGGGTGCAGTAAGTGGTATGGAAATTGAAGTAAGGATCAAGGTTGCAGTTTGGTGTTGACAAGGATGTCACGAGCTCGGATGAGCAGGAAGGGAGTTTCGATGTTTAAAGTAAGTTGGTATTGTCCTCAGCGTCACCTGAGATTGGTGCTTTATGAAAAAGACTTTGCATCCTGGTTAAGGATTTTTTATCGCTTTTCAGTGTTAGTACAACCGGTGGTTTGGATGTACAAACTTGTTATCTGTTATGGAAGGTTGTGGGAGCGTGCCCCACGGGAAGGTTGTATAAGTGTGGCCGGTAGTCACTTGATTGGTTGAAGAGTTGAACCAAGTATGAAGATTGTGGTGATATCATTGATTGGGTAATTTATGCTTGGAGGGCACTTGATTTATTGAGTTGTGGACTGTGGATAATTACTCCAGTTATGATGGTTGTTTTTATGTGTTATGAGAAAAAAAGAGGAGTTATTATGGACCTTTGAAAGGTTGTTAGCCTAGTTTAGTGCTATCAGAATCAGCTTGAGGCCTGTGGATGGATTCGAATGTGAATATGGGCTCTATATCAGGCAATATGTGTTCATTTCGGTAATGCTCTCCATATGGAAGAGTAGTCAGGGTGGTAGTTCGTCGTCAGTTATTTCATGTAATGATATATTGCGCTGTGTGAGTTATGAGACGGCTTGGTAAATTGCTTATGTGTTGAGGTTCCGCGTAGAGATGATGTTATATGAGCAAAATGGCTCTTGAGATTCAGATCGTATATCGCACCTCAGTTGTGCTTGAGTTTTGTAGCTTATAGCGCTATATGTCCCCTCAGGGACCGTATTATGCACTTAGTGTGCTTGTGACCGAAATTCGGTATTTTGTTGTAATGAGCAATTTAGCTCGATGTGCATCTGAATGAGCATTATGTGTGGATCGGGTGGCACGCCGCCATGGGTATGTTATTTGGATTGGGTTGCACGCCGCAATAGTGTGATGTTGAATACAGTTTTCATACTTCATCTTATGTGTGTTTGTTTCCCATTTTATAAGGAAAGTTTATATTAGTTGCACGAGTTGAGTAGTTCCTTCTAGAGTTCGTTTCCCTTTGTATCCCGTTCGAATTGGTGGCCTATTGGCACGTTGTGGCATCATATGAGACTTTCGATCATGTCCGGGGTAACTTATTGCCTGAGTAGTTCGTACTTGGTAAAAAGAGATCATTGGATTTAGGATCAGTGCAATCCGATTATATGAGGTATATTAAGGAGAAAGGACCATTACTTGGTTCAGAATGAGGTGACGGTTCTTGTCAGGAGTATAGACCCAATGATTTGTTGACTCAGTAGTTGGTTATAAGTTTCCACACACCTCTTCCGTCGTGGCAGTGTTGCAAGAGTTGGAACAGGACTTATATATGTCATGAGGTGTGTTGTGAGCGTCAGATTCGTGGAACTTCGGCGGTTATTATCAACGGATATTATTATGGTCATGTGGGTTATGCAATGCATAGTGTGGATTCAACAAAGGTATGCAATCATGTACGGGTGCCTCGTATGGGGATTGATACGGTGTTCGTATGTTGGAAGCAGGCATGACAGAGAATTCCGGATGTTGAAATTTGACTCTAAGGATTATTTGCCTAAATGAAAGAGAATACCTTCAGATTTGATCGAGCTAATGTGCTCAACTGAGTTGTGGTAGCACGGGTAGGTGAACGAGGTGTTAAACAGTGATTTCGGACAACTCTTGCGCAGTTCTTAGCACGTTCGAGGACGAATGTATGTTTAAGTGGGAGAGAATGTAACAACCCGACCGGTTGTTTTGAGCTTTAGCGCGTTCTTCGATGGTTTAAGGCCATGAGTAGCATCACTTCAGGCATTATGACTTGTACGCATGGTCGGAATTGAATTTTGGGAAGTTCGGAGTTGATTTGGAAAGAAAATTCTCAATTCGGAAGCTTTAAGGTGAAAGAATGGACTAAGATTGGATTTTTAAGTAAACAAGCTCGGAATCGGGATTTGAAGGTTCCAACAGGTTCGTATGATGATTTTGGACTTGGCGTATGTCCGGATTAGGTTTTGGAAGACCCGAAAATATTTTGGTGCCTATTGTGGTAGTTAGCATTTTGGGAGAATTTCATAAGTTTGGGTTGAAATGCGTTTCAGTGTTATCAACGTCCGTTTGGGATTCCGAGTCTGGGAGTAGCTCTGTATGGTGATTCTGGTGTTGGGAGCGCGATTGGAAGTGAATTCGGAGGTCCGTGGGTCATTTTGGAGTCATATGGCTAAAGATAGAAATTTGAAGGTTTTTGAGAAGTTTGACCGGAAGTGGACTTTTTGATATCGGGGTCGGAATATGATTTCGAAAGTTGGAGTAGGTCTGTAATGTCGAATATGACTTGTGTGCAAAATTTGAGATCAATCGGACGTGATTTGATATGTTTTGGCATCGAATGAAGAAGTTTGAAATTCTAAAGTTCATTAAGCTTGGATTGGAGGTCGATTCATGATTTTAGCATTGTTGGATATGATTTGAGGCCTCAAGCAAGTCCGTAATGTGTTTTGGGACTGGTTGGTATGATTGGTTGAGGTCCTGGGGGCCTCGAATGGATTCCGAGTGGTTAACGGATCGAAAATGATATTTTGGAAAGGGCTGAAGTTGCTGGTGTAACCGCACCTGCGAGACTAGGGCCGCAGGTGCGGAGCTGCAGAAGCGGCCTTCGTGCCGTAGAAACGGAAAAGGATGGCTAGGCTGGGACCGCAGATGCGGTCGTTTTGCTGCAGATGCGGGACCGCATCTGCGGAGGAGTGGACGCAAAAGCGGAATGGGCTGGGAGCCCTGGACCACAGAACCAGCATTTGGTTCGCACCTGCGAGACGCAGAAGCGGTGAAGAGACCGCAAGTGCGAAAATGCTGGAGGCAGTGAGGTTCTTTTAAATCGGGGGTTGGGTTCATTTTAACCTCATTTCTTCCATTGGAGCCGATTTTGGAGCAACTTTGAGGTGCCATTTTCACCACCAAGCATGAGGTAAGTAATTTATGCTAGTTTTTTAGATAAATACATGATTATATACAGATTTGGACATGGAAATTGGTAGGAACTTGGGGTTTGAGAGTAAACCTAGAAAAAATTGATATTCTTGGATTTTGACCACGACTTTGGGTATGAAATTAAGAGAAAATCATATATTTGAGTTCAGGAGTTCATGGATAAACTTTATCTTCAAAAAATTTCAGAATCCGGGCATGTGGGCTCGAGGGCAATTTTGTCAACTTTTCGATCGGGGTTAGGAATTGTTATAAATTGGATTGTAGTGAGTAATTGAATATATATTAATGGATTTACATAATTATTGGCTTGTTTTAGAGCATTGTGCATCAATTCTAGTCTTCGGAAGAGCGTGGAATGCCGGTTATAGATCTTCAGAGCGAGGTGAGTCTCCTTTCTAACCTTGTAAGAGGGAATTGTCTCCATAGTTGAAATAATTAGTTATGTGCTCCTATTTGTGGGGGCTACGTACGCACGAGGTGACGAGAGTCCGTGCGTAGCTACTATTATGCTATTGTCCGGGTAGTCTAGGACCCAAAAGCATGCTATACTTGGAATATCTGTAACCTTATTGACAGTTGATTGCTTAAATCCTATCGAATTGGTAAATGGATTTCTAAAAAGAATTAAACTTCATTTTGTTTTTCTAAATTGTTAAAGGAGAATTTGTTTTCTTTGGATAATTGCTTCCTGATGACTTCTTGATTGCTTGCCTGTGCGTGTTTAAATTCTGGAACGGGCCGAACGCCTCGGCAGATTAAATAGATACATCTATGGTTCGCGCCATTCAACCCTCTGGCAGTGCACAATTTAAATATTGTTGGATCGGGCTGTACAACCTCGGCATGATTTGTGTATGCTTGTATTGCTTGCCTTGAAACTTATTGAAGTTGTTATTGCCTCTTCCCGGTTTGAGAATATTTGTATAAACGATGAAAAGGAATTTGGAAATTTTCTATAAAAGAAAGAATTTCTTACCTGCTTCATTCCATTGAACTACAGTCATGTTTATAAAAATCACCGATTTACTACATTATTGAGATAACATTATTGGACCACTAGTAAGTGTCGAAGTCGACCTCTCGTCTCTACTTCTTCGAGATTAGACGAGATACTCATTGGGTACACATTGTTTTCGTACTCATACTACACTTCTGGGTATTTTTGTTGCACAGGCATATGCATCTCTAGAGGCCTAGTGGGCATAGCAGCATGGTTGACACGGAGACTTAGGTGAGCTACACTTCCCCAAATGACCCGTATCCAGCGGAGTCTCTTCCAGATTATTGTATTTACTTTCTGTCCAATTTGTATTCCGTATGGTTGTTGTATTGTATTGCTTCCCAGGATTAGCTCATGCACTTGTGACACCGAGTTCTGGGATGATTACGGGGTATCTTGTATTAACTGCTTAACATTTATATTCGGTTTGAAACAATTATCTTTTACTGGTAAAATTGAAGGAAAATCATAATTTTCAAAATTATTAAAACGTGAATTTAATTAAGTATTTTGGTTGGCTTGCCTGACAGTGGTGTCCGGCGCCATCATGACCCTTAGTGGATTTTGGGTCGTGACAATGTCCGTGGCAAACCTACCACAAAGTCCATAGTAATATGCTCCCACTTCCACTCTGGTATCTCAGTCTTCTGAAGAAACCCACTGGGTTTCTAATGCTCATACTTGACATGTTCACAATTCAAACACTAAGCAACATATCAAACATTTTCTTTATTCATCCTCTGCCACCAATAGTGCTACCTCAAATCCCGGTACATCTTCGCAACACCTGGATTAATGGAATACCGCGAACTATGGGCCTCTTCCAAGTTCAACTCTCTCATCCAATACACACTAGGAACATAAATCTAGCCTTGTCGTCACAACACACCGTCATTACCAATATGCACCTCCTTAGCACCACCTCGCTGCACCGTGTCCTTAATGACAAGAAAGTGGTGATCATCATACTGACGAGTCTTAATGAGCTCAAACAAGGATGACTAAGATAAAACAAAAGCAAGGACTCTGCTAAGCTCTGATATATCCAACCTCACAAATCTGTTGGCCAAAGCCTGAACATCCATAGCCAAAGGCCTCTCCCTAGCTGGAATAAATGCTAAAATCTGCATGCTCCCCGCTTTTCTACTCAAGGCATATGCTACAATATTTACCATCCCCGGCGATAAAGAATGGTGATATCATAATCCTCCAACCATCTCAGTTGCCTTAAATTCAAATCTTTCTATCTAAACAGATGGTGGAGACTTCGATGATCCGTATACACCTCACTGGACAAGCCATATAAGTAATGCCTCAAAATCTTAAACGTGTGTACAATAGCTTCTAACTCCAAATCATGCACTGGATAGTTCTTCTCACGGGGCTTCAACTGGCATGACGCATAATTAATCACCCTACCATCCTGCATCATCACGCACCCAATGCCAACCCCCGAGGCATCGCAATAAGCTGCATATGACCCAAATCTCGAAGGAAAACCCAATACTAGAGTTGTTTTCAAGGCTGTTTTGAGCTTCTGAAAGCTCTCCTCACACTCATCAAACCACCTTATCAGAGCGCCCTTCTGAGTCAACTTAGTCAATGAGGTTCCAATAGATGAAAATTCCTCTACGAAGCGACAATAGTAAATAGCCAAACCCAAGAATCTCCTATTCTCTATTGCAGTAGAAGGTCTGGGACAACTTTGAACTGCCTCAATCATCTTCTAGTCCACCTTGATCCCATCACTAGATAGCACATGACCCAAGAATGCCATTGAGCCTAACCAAAACTCGCACTAGGAGAATTTAGAGTATAGATTCTTCTTCCTTAATGTCTAAAGCACGATCCTTAAATGTTGTTCATGTTCCTCCCTACTATGGTAATACACCAATATATTATCAATGAACACTATGAAGAAAAAAATCCAAATAAGGCTAAACACAATGTGCATCAAATTCATGAAGGCTGCATGGGCATTAGTCAACCCAAACGACATCACCAAACACTCATAATGCCCATAACGATTTTGTAAAGTAGTCTTAGGGATGTCCGAAGCCCTGATCTTCAATTGTTAATACCACAACCTCAAGTCAATCTTCGAGAACAATATGGCACCCTGAAGGTGATAAAATAAGCCATCAATGTGCGACAATGGATATTTGTTCTTGATGGTCACCTTGTTCAACTGTCAATAGTCAATACACATTCTGATAGACCCGTCCTTCTTCTTCACAAACAATACTGGTACACCCCAAGGTGAAACACTAGGCGAGATGAACCCTTATCTAGCAAATCTTCTGAATGTTCCTTCAATTCCTTCAACTCCATTAGAGCCATACGATGCAGAGGAATAGAGATAGGTTGCGTGCTCAGTACCAAATCAATGCTAATATCATATCACTATCGTGTAGCATGACCGATAAGTCTATTTGAAACACATCCAGAAACTCCCTCACTACTAGAAGTGACTCAATAGTAGGAGTATCAGCACAAATATCTCTGACAAAAGCCAAATATGTCAAACATCCTTTCTCAACCATCCATTTATCCTTCAAAAATGAGATTACTTTACTAGGAGTGCAACCAAGAGAACCTTTCCACTCCAACCTCGTCAACCCCGACATCGGCAACGTCATGGTCTTAACGTGACAATCAAGAATGACATGGTATGGAGATATTCAATCTATACCCAAGATCACACCACAATCCACCATATCTAAGAATAGAAAGTCTGCCCTCGTCTTAAAACCACAAATAGTGAACAGATATGATCGATAAACTCGATCCACCATAGTAGAATCACCAATAGGTATTGACACATGCACATGAGCATTAAGATAACCACGAGGCATACCTAGACGAGAAGCAAAGTATGATGACATATATGAATAAGTAGAACTAGAAGCAAATAATATTGAAGCATCCTTGAAGCATCCTCTACTAGTTTGAGATCCCCCTCTAGGACGCCTACGTCCCCTATGACCTCCACCTAGAGCTAGCTAAGCGGGTGGTGTAGCAACTGGTGCGGGAATCATATCCTGGCCTCCCTGCTATATTGGACCCCTACAAAGATGGGGCAATACTTCCTAATATGCCCCAACTCCCTATACTCATAGCAACCTCTTACTGCAAATGATTGTGAGGCCTGAATCGAAACCTATGAACTAGAATAACTACTAGAAGGATTTGGTACCGACGAACCCTAAATTGATGGAGTGCAGTAAGAGCGTTGATCTAGGAGTGCACTGAATGAAGACTGCACCAAAGGGGTGGTGAATAATAAACTGGCCTGTTAGACTGGCCTCTCAGAAATTGACCTCGACCTCCAGACGAGGCACCACTAAAACTACCTGATAAGACCTCTTGTCCTTAGTCAGCATCATATCTCTAGTCTCGATGTGGATGCGCTCCACACGATGTGTTATCTCAATCACCTGATGAAATAGAGTCCCGGTCCTGGTCTCTCTAGCCATAACAAGGGAAATACTATGGTGAAGACCCTTAATGAATCTCCTCATCCTCTCTTCCTCAGTGGGAATCAAAGCAATAGCATGACAGGATAGCTCTATAAACTTCATCTCATACTCAGTAACTGACATATGGCCCTGTTATATGTACTCAAGCTGCCTCCTCAGCTCCACTCTCCTGGTGCGTGGCACAAAATGCTCTAAATGACTCTGGAGAACTAAGCCCATGTAAGAGGAGGAGATCCTACTAGTCGACCGATATCATAAACCTACTACCACCTCTTGGCCGGCCTTGCATCTGGAAGGTAGTGAATTCAACTGCATTGGACGAAACTAGTCCCAAATTATGCAGAATCTCATGCCAACGATTTAAGAATCCCTGAGCATCCTCTTAAGGCATAAAACTGAAGTGAGGAGCATGCAACTTGGTGAATTTATCTAACCTCTTCATCTTATAAGCTGACATCGTAGGCCTATCATCAGACTATGCAGCAATAGGCTAAACTCGCCCAAATGGCAATGCTATAGGAGTCTGATAACCATGGGCACCTGCTCTAGGTACTAGTAGCTAGAGTCTGCGTTCTGCCCCCTACTTGGGAAGTAGCTGGTACAGTTGGAAATGCCCCCGCCTGAACCAAACTCTCGAACAAATCAACCATGTGAATTAATGCATCCTAAATAACTAGTGAAATAAATAAGCCTTGGGGAACCTAAGTTAGTACCTCCGGCTCCACATAATCATGCACATGAACCTCAAGAGCAGCTAATGGTGGCTCAAAAACAGCTATACAGGATTTATCCGCGGTGCGTGCTATGCCTCTACCTCGACCCTGGCCTCTCACGGCCCTAGTCTGGGGTATCGGCGCCAACTTAGCTGTACCCGACAATAGTGTCCTCACCATATGTGAGAGAGTAGAAAACCAAGGATTCAGACTTAGAGGTAAACAAATCCGTACGACATGGAATGAAAGAAAGGAAAGTTTCCTAACAACCCTGTAGCCTCTCGAAGATACGAAAAAACGTCTTTGTATCGCTCTACATGACTCTGTTAGACTTGCTCATGACTCAAGAGACCTAAGCAACCTAGTGATCTGATACCAACTTGTCACGATCCAAACTCCCACCGGAGTTGTGACGACGCATAACTCAACTTGCTAGGCGAGCCAACAATTAAATGACAACAATAAACTCAAATAACAGATTTGAATAGTCTAAACAAAAAAATAATTATAAATAACTGGAGCCAAATAATCGTAATACATCTAAAACCATTCCATGATCTAGTGTCAACGAGCACTACAAGATTTAAATACAGAGTCTAATCCAAAGTACAAAACCATTTGAAAGATAGAACTGTGATAACATAAACAAAGCAACAAGGGACTTCAAGGCCTAAGAATAGAATCAGTAGCTACCTCAAATCTCCTAGAATTGATACTGGTGCCTCTAGCTAACAAATCGCCTCTCTCGATAGTACTTGGATATGCACATGAAGTGTATAGCGTAGTATCAGTACAACCGACCTCATGTACTCAATAAGTAACAAGCTTAATCTCGGGCTGAAAGCAGTGATGAACTCAATAAGGTTCAATACTCAATACCAATAACAAATAACAAAAATTATAACATAATAATGGCAAAAAGAAGTAGCTAAAGCAATATTAAATTCAACCTTGTTAACAATTAGCAGGGAAATAGGCATGCTTTTCAAGAATAGTTGTTAAGGCATACATTTTTTCACAAAATTCATCTAGGCATGGTTTATCAATTTAATAGTGATCCCAAGTTCATACATGTAAATAAGGGCATCTAGTACCAATAAACATGAGGAAAAAATCACAACTTAGTACTTGCATGACAAGTAAACATGCTAGAACCAACGATCAATATCACATAGGGCATATCACACACGTCACCTCATAATCAATACCACTTAGCCCAATGTGGGGCCTTCCGTACGCGTCACCTC